TCCTGCTTGTGCAGAGAGGTAGTGGAGTGAAACTTTGCACAAACCATGCTTCAGTTCACTTCAGCAAATATCCACTGAGGGTTGAGGTTGATAAGGTCTGGGATATTTATGTGGAGGGCTGAGAGGGAAAGTCACCAGAAAATAAGTCCTTGTCATATGTCCTTGGACGTTTAGAGAACATCAGGCTTAGTGTCACACCCACTTGAGACAACTATCTTTCCGGTCTGGTTTGAGTGGGCAGGAGAGAGAGCAATGGTTGCGTTGGGAGCAAGCTACACACCCACCAATGACAGGACAATACAGGTAATCCTGGGGGATCAGATAAAATTGTAAAACGGGACTCCTCCAAAAGGCCTACCTGGACTCAATAGTGAGGTGGACAACCAAAGTCCAGGAGACTGAGTGGGGAGCCAGAAGCAGCCAGGTAATGCAGAGGCATGGATGATTAAGTGAATCTCTAGTGAAAGATCCTGTGGGGAATCTGTGAGGGCAATGCATGACTACCAATGAGAGCAAGAGCCAAGTCTGGACGTCTGCCATGCCCAGATGCCACCAAATCCTGATGCAACTGTCTGTATAAGAAAGACCTTTCTTGTCCCCTTACTTCTCTTTCCTGCCCAAGGATAGGTATATATATCAATGGAAAGGAACGTACAGTCCAGAAATAAATTCTTACATTTATGGCTAATTGAGTTTTGACAAGGGAGCTAACACAGTTTAATAGAGAAATAAATTGTTTTCAACAAATGGGGCTGCGACAATTCAATCAGAAATATAAAAAGAGGTTGGATTCCCTACCTCACACCATATCCAAAAATTAACTAAAAATGGATCATAGACACAAATGTAAAAGCAAAAATTGTTAAAATTTTAGAAAAAGACAGGAATAAATCTTCATGACAAGGTAATAGGCATGTTTTAGAAATGGCACCAAAAGCACAATCAACAAAAGTAAAAATAGGTAAATTGCACTTCACCACAAAGTCCAATTCACCATTTTGTGTGATGAATGTTAAGTTAATTCATCATTTTTTTCTTCAAATTATACCATCTAGAAAGTGAAAAGACAACTCACAGAATAGGAGTAAATATTTGCTAATCATTTATCTGAGAATACACTTGTACACAGAATATATAAAGAACTTAAAACTCAACAAAAAAACCCCAAATAATTCAATTATAAAGTTGAAAGGATCTAATTAGATATTTCCTAAAGAAAATATACAAATGGCCAATAAGCACATGAAAAGATGCTCAGCATCATTTAATGATTAGGGAGATACAAATCAAAACCACAATGGGATGTCACTCCACACTTCTAGAATGGCTAAAATTAGAATGACAGACAACACTGCTGGCAAGGATGCGGAGAAATTGGAACTCTTACACATTTGTGGTGGAAATGTAAAATGGTGCTGCCTTTTAGAAAGCACTTTGAAAGTTCCTCAAAAATAGAGTTACCATGTAACTCAGATGTTTACCACCATTAATTAATTAATTAATTACAAATTAAACTATTCTTGGTTACCAATATATCTCCATTCATCTGGCTAAACTATAAAAATAACTTAAGTAAACTTAATAAAAAAAAAAGAAAAAGAAAAAGGTAGAATCAGGGAGGCTTACACAAGGGATTTCAAGAGTAACAATAATGTTCTCTTTCTTAAATGTGTACTCTTGTATTGTTATTCTTTAAACTGCACATAAAGTATACTATAAATATTCTTTCATATGGATTAAATATTCAATAAAGAATGACATACTGAGTATTGGCAAGAACATGAAGCAAATGTTACTTTCATATATTGCTTATGGACAAAAGTTGGTACAACCACTTTGCAATACTCTTTGGTATATACTAATACCAAACATATGTAAAGCCTATAACCTAGCAATTCCACTTTCTGGTATGTATATACTCAAGAGATTTAGTGCCTATTTCAACCAAAAGATAGGTATAAGAGTGTTCATAGCAGTATTAGTCTAAAAAAGCATCAAAATAGATATAGCACAATGTCCATCAATAGCAAATCTGATAAATCATTTGTGTTCTGCTAATACAAAGGAAAACTATGCAAAACTTAACGTGTGCTGATAGAGGTCAAAATCCTGGTCACTTTGTGGGAGAGTGTTACTTGAGCCTCCTGGGGTACTGGAAGTTGTTTAGGGTGCACGTGTGTGTGTGTGTGTGTGTGTGTGTCTAATTTTTCTGAACTGTGCATGTATTTGTATGTTCTACTGTGCGCATTTTATAACATAGTAATAAAAAAGTGAGAATAGATTTATGTGTCTGTTTTATTTTGGAAACATAAACACAGGATGTATATCTTAAAAAACTTATGAAAATCTTACTTCTGAAGTAAGAACAAGGTTAAACAGATAGGAGAGGAGATGGAACCCACTGAGTATATCTTTTCATATAGTTTTAACTTTTGAATCACATTAATGTTTTTATATTAAAAAATTACATCAATCAGAGTAGAAACATAACTTTTAGGGGACAGTGGCAGAAACAGAGATTCTAACAATGAAAGCATTGCCCTCACAGATTCCCCACAGGATCTTTCACTAGTAATTTCATCTTCTATTTTACAATTTCCAGTCTTCCTGGGAGTTAGATTGGGGTCATATGAGTAGTACTGGCCAAAAGCTTTAAGAATGGATGAAAGCTTTCAGCCTTTGGGCTGAACCAGAAGAGCTGATTTTATTCCTCCATGTGTTCTCTCACCTTGTTTCAGCGACTGTGAAGGGTACATGATGAGACCTTGGAGCCACAGGATGGAATTCTTCCCAGATCTCTAAATCACCACATGAACCCAGAAGAGTTGCTCAACTTCTATTAAAGTTTCTGAGAGTGAGAAGTAAACTTTTTTTTTGTGTGTGAAAGTTTTTATTTTAATTCCAGTTAACATACAGTGTGATATTAGTTTCAGGTGCACAATATAGTGATTCAACAGTTTCCTACATCACCCTGTATAAGAAGTAAACCTCTTTAAAGTTATTTATTTATTTATTTATTTATTTATTTATTGAGAGAGTGTGAGCAGGGGAGGGGTAGAGAGAGAGGGAGAGAGAGAGAATCTCAAGCAGGCTCTGCACTGTCAGCATTAGAGCTCGACATGGGGCTTGAACTCATGAACTGCCAGATCATGACCTGAGCTGAAATGAAGAGTTGGATACTTAACTGACTGAGCCAGCCAGGTGCCCTGAGAAGTAAACCTTTCTAATTTCGGAACTAGCCTGTTAGCTCAACATAGCCTAGAGTATTCTGATTAATAGAGAAGATGTAAAATTGAGATGATTTGTGGAGAAGGAGGAGACACAGTGGCTATATGAGGGGAATTGAGGAGAGTGAAATAAATATTCTTTATATTCTTCAAAAAATAAGAATGAAAACCTTTATAGAATATTAGAGCTAGAAGAAAACTGCAGACTTTATTCAGTTCTTTTCATTTTGAAGACAAAAAAAAATTTAACCAGAGAGACAATCTTGATTGAGTCAAGATCACACAACAAGGGGCGCATGGGTGGCTCAGTCGGTTAAGCGTCCGACTTCAGCCAGGTCACGATCTCGCGGTCCGGGAGTTCGAGCCCCGCATCAGGCTCTGGGCTGATGGCTCAGAGCCTGGAGCCTGTTTCCGATTCTGTGTCTCCCTCTCTCTCTGCCCCTTCCCCGTTCATGCTCTGTCTCTCTCTATCCCAAAAATAAATAAATGTTGAAAAAAAAATTAAAAAAAAAAAAGATCACACAACAAGTTAATGGTAAAGACAGGATTACAACCCTGGTTTTTAGGATCTTGAGAATAGTCTCAGGGTTAGGCTACAATTACTTTTGAGAGCAGCTGAACATTTGCTCAGGATCCTTTGGGTATACTGAACTTCCAATTTCTTGGTGAAGGTTCTAGATGGGAATAGCAGCCACCTGAGCCTCTATCAGGCTTCAGACTTCAGCCCCAACTCTGAAGTCATAGCACAATCTCCATTTCTATTTTACTGTCCTTCCCTAGGCAGTCCACTTGAAATC